CTTTTTCCCTTTCTGTCACAGCTAGTCATGTACCACATGTCAAAAAATATGGGGGATATTTGGGCAACTTTTGGATGTTGTCCAAAACAGGAAGGTGGTGGTAAATCACTGAGATTTTGCTGAGCTCATCACATATTTCCCTAAAAGACACTACAGACTAGTTGTTTATTTATGATAAGAGAAACAAGCTAACATGAGCAAATAGTGAGCAACATTTCTGTGTTGACATGAAGCCTTTTGTTGCTCATAGCCCCTGTAGTCTACATGTCCAAATGTATTTTCATTACAGAACACAAATACTTGAAAATGTTATTGAATTTCAAATCAGTTGTAGTTAGTGCATATCTAGGCCAGTATACCACATTTTTAATGTCTGTTCTTTATAAGATGTATTTAAGAATTGTTCAGAGGGATTTATCCTGTTTGTTTGAGAAATCAGCAGTTGGCTTTCAAATTAAGTAAATCTCCATTTCTGATAGAGACAAACTTTATCCATTCAGCGAATCCCAAAATTCTTCATACCTATGCCAAATTTAGATTTAAAGTACATTTTTTATTTCACCAATGGATTCTTCTGGCTGCACATGACATAAAGAAATGACCATAGGCAAACAGGGCATTGTGTTATAATTGTTAATGATGAATTTAAACTATTTCTAATCTGAAAATAATGTTAAACATTATTTATGCCAGATGAAATTGTTTCAAATAGTTGCCAAAAAAAGCAAGTTTCATACCTTTACAAATGGTTCTGGTAATTTCTACTGTGTTCTGTAAGCATTCTTATTAACCATACGTTGAGAGCAGCTGATGAATTTCTCTGGACACGTATGAGTCAGCTACAAGTCATGGCTAAAACCAAAGAGCTGAGGGAGTTTCTTATTAAGATCCATCAACGACAGGGACAGACTTGTCCAACTGTTTCCAAGTGCCAGTGGCCACAGAGCAAAGCGTGATCAAACAGTTAAAGGAGTGCAACACTGAAAAATCCCAAAGGTCTTGGTAGAAAGCCAAAAGTGATCCCTGTACTGGCAGGAATGGTAGTACGCGAGGCCACAATGAATCCAAATATCACCACTGAGACCATCCTGATGAATCTGAGCAATTTTACTACCAACATCTCAATCAGACACTCCAGCAGACACTGAACAAGGCTGGTCTGCTGGATATCAACCAAGGAGGGCTCCACTTCTCTAATACAGGCACACAACAGCTAACTGAGCCTTTGCAAAAGTTTACCTGGACAAAGAAAGATTTTGATCATCGGTTCTGTTTTCAGATAACATGAAACCTGTTTAGACACAGGAATGTGGGTTTAGGTGGTGAAAGCAAAGAGAAGTATTAAACCCCAGGAACACCATCCCCATGGTCAAACATGGAGGTGGGAATGTGATGCTTTGGAGCAATGGACCAGGCAAACTCGTGAAAGAAAATCTCATCATGAGCAAAGACTGCATTAAGATTTTGGAGGAAAACATCAGGCAGTCTACAGAAGAACTTGGCCTTGGTCAGCATCAGACTGTCCAACAAGGCAGTGATGTGAAACATACAAGCCCAGCCAGCCCAGCCAGAGTCCAGACCTGAATATTATCAAGAACCTGTGGAGGAGCTGAAGACCAGGGTGATGGTAAGAAACACTTCCATCATTAAAGATCTGGAGTTTGTCACAAAGAGGAGTGGAACAGAATACCAATGGAGACCAACAGAAAGCTTGTTAGTAATTTTAGAACCCGTTTGATAGCTGTAGTGGGCAACAAAGACTTTAATCACTGAATCACAATATGAATAATTTTATACACTAAACTTTTAGAAGTGGAAATAATGAAAATGCCCAATTTCTATCTCCAACACTATGTCATAGGATCATTTGTCATATGATTTAGAGCCACATGAGATTGTTACTCACAGAGAAGTCCCTGATAACAGACAGATCCGCTTGTAGCTTCTGGAGCCAGACAGGGAAACCCTGATTGTTGCCTGTTGGACTGCACCATGTCTGCTGTAGAGGAACACTGACACAACCTGGACACACAGGAGAACAGCCTGATGAAGCTGGTAGACTAACTGCTGAAGTCTTCCAGGTGCAGCTCAGAAGAGAGAGTGCATATATCAGCTTAACTCACTTGTTTTTATTGCTGGGAAAAAGTGGGACAGATATCTGAGGGAGGAGACTAACTGGAAGTGAAATGATTAAACATGTTTCATGCATGCTGGTGATTTATTTATTTATCATGTGTTACATATGGGATGGACAGTGTGGTTTTATTCAAAGATCTCATGATGTTGAAATCTCAAAGGAAGAAAAGTGTAAAAAAGGAGAAGAAAAAATGTATATGCTTGTAAAAAGAGAAACCACATAGAGAAGTTATTTGTTAGAAGGGATGTTCTTCCAGTGGTACTTTTTGTAATGTGGAAGTCCATTTATCCATAATTGTTTTGTCTCTGTCTGTCTAATTCATACTTTGTCTGAGCCCATTTATGTCACACTTTATGGTATTTTAGAAATACTTGGCGAGAAAATCAAATCTGAAATTTAAAAAAAAAAACAAACAAACAAAAAACATTGGAATGCTTTCAAAATGTAAATAATCTTTACTACTATATATATGTAGTTACTAGTTTGTAGATTAAGACTTTACATAAAAACCAATATGTTTTTAAAATACAATGCATTGTTAAATATTTAATCAGCGGTTTCCAACGGATATCTTTTGTAAAGAGTTTGGGCCTAATATCTGATTTCATGTTTCTGAGTTATTAGCTGTTCCACCAAAGAGTTATTTCCTCTCTAAAGTTTTCAATAATTTAACTTTTTGAGGTAAAAAGATAAATTATCCAATAATACACAAACAAAACCAGAATAGTGCTAAAAGTGAGCATATTTACATAGTTGCATTCATACTTTTAATTAAGTAAAGCTTCTGAGTACTTCTTCTTCCTTGGGTGTATCTTGTTGATCTTGTCTGTCAAGATGCAATTTCTGTGCAACAAAGCGTTTTCTGGTTTTCTGGTCAAAACTGCTACACCACAGAATTGCACAGACCATGTGACCGCTTTCAAGGAAAGAAAGTACAGCAGCTGAATTAAGCCAGACCTGCTTGAAGTTTCATTTCTCTTTCATTTTACCATAAGCAGCTGCAAAAAAAAAAAAAAAACAAAACAAAAAAGTCTCTTGTTTGCCAAACAGCAGACAGCTTTACAAACAGTAATATTCAAAGATAAGGAGAATTAAGTGGATGTGCAAGTTTTCTTTATGCTTTTCCCCCCCTTCTTATTTGACAATAATAGCTCACTGACTTGCACACTAGAGGATGAGACAATATTCATTCTGTGCTGGAATCATTTAAAGATCGAGTTGGGTGAAAATACATGTTTATTGTTTTTTTGTGGTTGTTTTAAGCTTGGAGGTACAAAATAGAAGCTGTTAGGATATAAAGACATTTACTTCTGCCCTTCCTTAAGCCCCCCCCAAAAATGCCTCCAAGCTTCACAGGCCAGTGAGAGGTTTGTTGAACTTCTATGTCACAAGACCCTCCATGCACTCCCAGCATCCGAGTAACTGAAGACCTGGTGGATTATCTTTAACAGCAAAGTCACTGCAACAACAGGAAAATCCTTACTGTTAGCATGTTGTGCAGACAACAGAATTAGTATGACACAGAGATTAAGACAACACCAGCGCTCACCTCAGGGTCATTTCCAGGCCGCCACTCTGCACCACTGAACTACTGACTTTATAACCACAGTGTTGTCTGAAAAACTAACCACACACAACAACAGCAGGTGTGCTGTGAATTCTGCAACATTTCCAAGTAAATTTTGAGGCAATAGAAAGTCGTGGTCTCTGTGTAGCCAGCTGTTATTTACGGGTACACAGAGAGAGTTTTCTTGTTGAACGGCATGTGATCAGTCACCACTTAGCTGCATTTGAAGCTACAGACAGTTGAAAGACACTTTCTGGGGACATGTGAGACTTTCATTAATTTGCATATCATGGGACCTTTTAGCTGAAGTTAGAGGTCATAACCAGCCCCGGTGCTGCTACTGTAAAGTGATGATGATGGACCTCTGTAGTTCACATAGGGCCTCTCACAAAACTCCCACTTGTGCTATACATGATACAAATATCTACTTTACATGGCACAGATATGCTCAGATGATATGTCTGAACCAAGGGGATCAACTATACGACATTACAGTCGGATGACAAACCACACACTGAGGTGCTTAGAGGAGAAATACACTAACAAGCCAAAACAATCGGATCAGTCAGTCAAGAATCCTGTAGATGTTCTGCTACAGCCAGAGCATGTTAGATTTAAGAAGTCTCTGTCAATCAAAATTTATATGGATGCAATCCATCAATTATCTATACACCGTTTAATCCTCATTAGGGTCACGGGGGGCTGGAGTCTATCCCAGCTGACTTAGGGTGAAGGCAGG